AACCAGGACAGGGGCGGATATAGGGCAGGGTGAGTGGGGCGGCCGCCCAGAGCCCCGCGCTTCAAGAAGCCCCGTGCATGCGCCGTGTCAAAGGGGGCCCCCGAGAAATTGTGCTGCCCTGGGCCCCGCAAAATCGTCATCTGCCCCTGCCAGGAAATACCGGACATTGCACACGTCCAGTATTTTCTGAATTTTTTACCGGACAGAGGGCCCAAAAACCGGACAGTCCTGTTGAAAACCGGACACCTGGCAACCCGATCTGCTAGCCTTAACTCTGATTCTCCCAGCTGACACTATCCAACCCAGTCTGATTCACAGACTTCTCCAAGGGCACTTGCAGGCCATAGGGACACAGTCTCAGCTAGAACAACCCAGCAGGTAACCAGTGATGCTGTAACCTGTTCTCATTTGCCTGGAGGTCTTCCCTTTCAGCCACCTCTGCAGATGGACAGACAGCCCTGCTCAGGCCAGCCAGACATAGGGAGAAACAGGAAGGCTCTTCCCAGCTGGGGAAGCTAGGAATTCCTGCTCCAATTGTCGAACAGTTGTGTGGCCGCAGGGCACTGCACAGGGGTCTCAGCATGTCTGGCTCCACAGGAGATTCAGAGCCATGTTAGCCCATGTCCCAGTTGCACAGGAATGGCTGGAACCTGCCTCAGGGCTGGCCACTAAGCTGGGATGGTGCAAAAAGCTCAGAAGACCCCACACCTAGCCTGGGGATGTCCTGCCCCATCTGCTCTCCCCACTACTCCTACACAGTGTGAAGAGGCTGGCTGAGAACCACCCTGCCCTGCACTGATCCCATCACCCCACACATGGCAGGTTGCTGAGACATTGGGGCTGTAGGTGCCAGTAGGTGGGGTTAGGGTTAGCTGACCCCCCTCACCCCACACATGGCACGGTGGTCCTTGGCCCCGCCCTACACTGACTCCCTCACCCCACACATGGCACGGTGGTCCTTGGCCCCGCCCTACACTGACTCCCTCACCCCACACATGGCAGGGGGGTCCTTGGCCCCGCCCTGCACTGCACCCC